GTGGAGAATTTTTTTCAATATGTTAGTATTTCTTTTGTTGTCCAAGAGTATTCTAATCAGATGAAACACTGGAAAAGAACAAAAGGAAAAGAACCATTTGAGGAGAAGATGTCTCGTGTCTAATGAGGATGACTGTATTGCTCTGTGGACATCTGGACATGTAGGGAGATAGCTACATCCCAAGGAATTTCTAAAGTCTGTGACAGATCTTATTTCACAGTCTTAAACTGAAGCACTTAGCAATGACACATTGCTCTCACATTGTGAAAACATACATATTTTTTTTTTCCAGGGCAGGCCATCTAGTTTATTCAAGTTGAATCTAGACCTTAAATCTGGCTTAACAATAGCAGAAGACATCTTTAAACACACAATAAACTTTGTGTTAAATCAGAGATGGTTTAAACCAGTCTTACAACTTCTATTGGGTTGTCAGGAAAGTCATGATGCATTTTTACATAGAAAAACATAGAAAATTATGTCATGACTTTCCTGACAACCTAGTAATATTCTGGACTGGCAATGACAGCATGACAAATGTTCAGTCCAATTATAAACCCAGAGTTTATTTTTCTTGGCTAGAAAATCTTAAAAAGATCTGAAAAATGCAGTTTTACAAAGCCTTTTACCATCATTGTCAGTCTCAACTAATTATGTGTTTTTGGTTTTTTTTCATCCCCGGGAAGATTTCTAAATGAGAGGGCTTTTTCTTTGATCTGCTTGCCCTGATGGGTTTGCAAGAACTCAGAAAGTAAGTTTAAAGAATGAAGATTAACTGAGATGTCAGGGGAGTTTTTATTGCAAGCACAGTGGGCAGAAAGAGATATCTTCTCACACAAAGTGGCCCTAAGGTCTGCCATTAACTGAGTCTCTTTAACAAGCCTTCATTGATTTAGGGCCTATGAAGCAGCTTCTTGCTGTCAAATGTACATCATTTCTGCCATATGCAACATCTCCCTTGGAATATAAGGTCTTCAGTGGTTACATCATCCACACAGACTTGAGCTTGCTCAGAACAGGAGCAGGAAGAGCCAGCCAGAGTTCTGGTGTGCAGCAACTGAGAGGAGTCCTCAAGTGTGGATCTTCATTCTGGGGCTGGATGTGTGAGGGAGTACATTTTGCAAGCCTGAAAAGGAATACACTTCCAATATTTTTCCATCTCTTGTACTGATGCTCCTTGCCTACACACAGACACACACACACACACACACACACACACACATGCTTTGCCCTGATTTAACTAGGAAACAGATAGAAAGTGAGAGAGATCATTGGCCTTAGACTTGCTTGGGAGACTTGGGTGTTATCTGAGGAGTCTTCATTTTTACTCTCTGATGGGAACCTTGGAACCGAAGTTCCCAAAGGCTTGATGACCATACCTGTATGACTAGTATTGAGAGAAGAACTTTCTCCTGCAGTGAACTCTTTAGGGTTTGAAATTCCCAGCTCACTGATATCATCAGGGGAGTCAGTGTTGCATTTGTGCTTGAGCTGGCTGCTATTGTATTGCAGTGTGTAAACTTTGGAGGATGAAGGACAGGAGACTTGGAACATCGGCAATGCTGGGTTCTCTCTGTTCTTTGTGACCATTTCCTTGTAGATCCATGCCAACTGACTTTAGGTGTACCTAAAGCTTTAGGTTTGGTATCACCTGCTCCTGATCTGACTGATGTTGTGTCACCTGTGGTTTCTACCAACAGACAGAGGTGTTATGGATCCTGATGCATCCTTCTCAATTTCTTTAAAGCAATTTGTAGACTCTCCTCCTCTCCATCCTTGGCTTCAGATTTCATTGTGAAAGTTTTACCTACCCTACTGTGGATGTTCCCATTAATGCTTCTCACAGCTGGGGCACTCTGGTGATCCAGACCTATCAGTTCAGATTGTCTCTCCTGTGTCATGGCGCTTGACTGACCCTAAAAACATATTTTTGAGGACTAGCAGATGGCATAATGGTTATGGCACTGAACTCCCACATAGTCAACCATGGTTTGAGTCCTGGACCTGGTGGTTTAAAATGCACACTGGCTGGGTATGCATGGATGTCCAAGATCCCAAGAGGAGAATGGAGGAGAAGGGATTGTGGCATGGTCATTCCTCCAGGAAGCGATTTCTCGCTTTCTGTCTCGCGTTCTCTCTTTGTCTCTATGCTGAGTGCATGTGCCCTATAGCACATGATGTGTGTAGCACAGGATAGGTATTAAAAGTGGAAAGGATTGGTGTAGCTCTGTAGTTCTTGAATGTCTTATTTGCATAGTGGACTTTTAAAAGTATATGCATTTTCTGTTTTTTAAAAAATAATTATTTTATTTATTTATTTATTTATTTTGCAGAGATTTTTGCTATAGGGTGCATGCACTTGCCAGCAAAATAGAGAGATAGAAAGCGAGAAATCACCCCTCCCAGGGGGGATGTCCACGCCGCAATCCCTTCTCCTCCACTCTCCTCTCGGGACCTTGGGCACACATGTACACATGCCTGGCATGATCTTAAGTCACCAGGTCCAGAACTCGAACTGCAGTTGACTACATTGGAGTCCAGTGACATAGCCATTGCACCAACTGCTGGTCCCAATTATTTTATTTAATTTTACTTATTTTTTTTTATTTGACTAGAGAGTGACAGAAAGATAGAAAGAGATGGAAAGGGAGAAAGCAAGCCACCAGGTTTAGGAATTGAACCACATTCAACCATGTGGGAGTCCAGCACCTTAACTACCACACCATCTGTTGCCCCTTATATATTTTCTGAGCAAAGGAGATAGAAAACGAAAGCACACAATAGGTTCTCACCATACCACAATCTCTCCTTAGTCTTCCTTCCAGCTTAAAGTGTTAGGGCTAACTCAAGAACTGAACTGGGGGTGATCCAGTGTCATATGGCCACCTACTTGCACACTGTCACTGGGCCTGCACAATGGAGTTTTGACCTACTGAATCATTTGTTACATGTAAACAACATAGACAGTTACTAAGCATTCAGTAAAGTGTTTCCAGGACATTCTGTTGTTTAAGTACTCTAGGAATAGAACAGAAAACTCTCATCTCTTTCCTGGAAGTGTCTGAATAAGACACAAACGTGTTAAAAATACATACATGCCATACAAATGCATTTAATAAAGTTGTATCACATTTGTACCATGGTCATGAATATGATTGGCAAATACTAATGAAGAGAAACATCATATTATTTTGTGTTGCTTAAATTTTAAAAGGGTATGTATTTGTGTTCAAGGGATTAAAAAATCTTTAGAAAATATAAGTGTGATGAATATGAAATTCAGGATTTTCTCAATAGATTTCATCAAATATGTTTTCTGTTACTATGTTTATAAAATCTATTTCCACAGCATAACCAAAGATTTCAGGATATAATTTCAGCTCTCCAATTAACTATCATGGAATTTTTAATTGATTTTTGAGACAGGAGAGGATCCCTGAAATGGAGATGAGCATGCAGGAGATCTACTGAGGTGTACTTTAGGACTAAGTCTTGTGGAAGGAAGCAGGATTAGATCCCAGTTGGAGATAGCAACCTGAGAGACATTATGAATGGAAATCTTAGCTGACCACACAGGTTGTTCTGAAGATGAGATGATTAATTACAGAGAAGCATACCTAGTTGGGGAGTGGATTATGGCTCTCTAATGGTTTGCCTCAAAAAGAGGGCATGAACTCGGATGAAAAAATTGTAGTCTCCATTACAGTCCCTGCCTAGCCCTATTTTACCTTCCTTATAGGCGGGGTGAACTCCCCACAAAAGCACTGCTGGTCAGAATGAAAAGATTCATTGTACATGGAGAGAAAAGATTTATCGCACATGACTCTGAGTGGAAAATACAGTTTACTAAACATCTATAGGCTGCTGTATTGGCAAAACAAAACAAAACAAAAACCTCTAACAGCTGGTATTTTAAAAAATTATAACTTGTATTCAGTCTTCATAAATCTTTTTCTCTACTATTGTATTCAAGAGGGCTCCATGACTTCATTTTCATCTTTATTTTTCTAAAGTGTACAAAATAATTAGTACATTTGCCTAAGACTAAAACAACTCTCTAGAGAAAACTAGGCAGTGACAATGTCATTTAACTTCAGTTGGAAAGTAACTATCGTGTGTTATGTGATTGACTAGTGTAGGCAAAATACAATTACCCAGAACCTCAAAACAATACTTTTTTTCTTTAAGAGTAAGAATAATATTCACTTTATGTTTCAAAATGGTTTTAGTTTTTTTTTTTTTTTTTGTTCCCCTTGATTCCCTCCTGCTCACCCTCTGCCATTTCCCATCCCACTCCCACACTGCCTTAGGTGTCCACAGTTGTTCTCTGTGCCTTTAGATTGTCCAATATTTTAGTTTCTGGCATAGAGTGCAGACACTTAGTATATATCAAGTAGGACATATAATGCCTCTCTTTCATAGTCTGGCTTGCTTCACCTAAGAGTAAGTCTTCCATAGGTATGGTAATATTATTGATTGGGTCAATATTCAGTGTATTCTGGATGGGAAAATTAATTTTGTATGGTAATGATATACAGTAAATGAAGGTAATATAAATAAAAAAGAATAATATTCAATTTTCAGTGTCATAGAATCAAGTTTTATTTTGGTACATGGAAATAACAAGATACAAGAAAGTCTTTATGGACTATGTGGAAGAGACTTTACTGAACTTCAGTGTCAAAAGGGTTAAAATCAATGGCCATCCATGTTATGGGGTTAGTTGTTAAACTCTGTAAGGATGTTAACTCAATGTCCTGAAGACAGAGGGATGAATCATGGGGACAATTTGTTCATTTATCAGGATATTCTCAAGGAATTAATTGGGAAGAGAGGAGCTTTGGACAGGGGTTATAATATGAACACATAACTGATAATAGTAAGGCTTGTTCATGGGAGTCAGGGATCAATTTTCTTACACTTTCCACATTTTCAAAAGAAGGAGTCTTTATCCCTAGGGAAGGAGGTGATAAGGTGGTAGTATAATCAACGGTAGAGCTTCAGCAGCAAGGGATGGCGCAGCACATGGGACGAGGGCAGGTGGAGATGACACAGGTTGGGCGATAGCAAGAGGTTTGGCAGCACACTTTGCCACAGACTGGACGCAGGCAGCAGCCAGGGCAGCAGCAGTTGGAGCCACAACCACTGGAGCCACAGCCTCCACAACCACAGCAAGAGGGGCGGCAGCAGCTGGAGATGCAGCAGGAGGGGCGACAGCAGCAGGAGCCACAACCACTGGAGCCACAGCCTCCACAACCACAGCAAGAGGGGCGGCAGCAGCTGGAGATGCAGCAGGAGGGGCGACAGCAGCAGGAGCCACAACCACTGGAGCCACAGTTGCTGGAGCCACAACCACAGCAGGAGGGACGGCAGCAGCAGGAGCCACAGCAGCTAGGCCTGCAGCAGCTGGTGCCACAGCAGCTGGAACCACAGCAGCAGGGGCGGCAGCAAGGACGGCAGCAGGTGGTCCTGCAGCAGGTGGTCTGGCAGCAGGTAGGCCTGCAGCAGCAGGAGCCACAGCTGGAACCACAACAGGAGTTGACCATGGTGTCAGGAGATGAAGGTTCTGGGTGGGTTTCCAGGAGAGTGAAGTTGCTGGTTTGGAAGTCTTCCTGGCCCATGTCCCCCTTATATACCCCGATGAAGGCTTGTTGTTACCACATTATTCTTTCCTTGTTGTTATTTTCCCTACCAGAAAATGTAATAACTTAATTACATAATTGTGCTTTTTTAGTTAAATATTCCAAAATAGAGGAAATAGCACATTCCTTTTTTCTCAGTGTGCTCCAGTGTGTTCAATGTTAATGGTCGTACGTTTCTTCTTTAATGTGTATCACTTTTGTCCCAGGCCTCTGTGGTAGCTTTTAAAAGCCTTATGACTTAACTCTCTGAGATTTTGTTTTTGGCTGTGGCATATCTTCCTATCTGCACATTGTTCCCTGCAATTAGTAAAGAATGATTTTTGCAATGCTAACGTATCTTTTGTTGTCAAAGAAGTTCTAATCAGATGAAATGCTGGGAAAACAATGATAGGAAAAGAACCATGTGAGGGTAGGATTCCCATGTGTAGTGAGGATGACTGTGATTGCCATGTGGGCATCTGGATATACAGGAAGATTGCCAGATCCCAAGGAATTTCTGAACTCTGTGTCAGATCTATTTTGCAGTCTAGTTAGTGAAGCACTTAACAATGACTCATTGCTTTTAGATAGTGAGAACACTACCATTTTTTTACGTATGTATTCCAGGATATGCATTCAAAGTGGAACATATTAATATATCTTTTGATTATCAGATTTCTAGAGTGAAGTTTAAAGTTCATTTCTGAGAGAGACATGAAACAGAGACACTCATTGCGGTCTCCCATGCCACAATTCCTCCTCAGCCTTCCAACCTGCCTGGAATGTTGGGGTTTATTTAGGATTTGAATCTGGGACCTACCTAGGTGGCTTCTGTATCACAGAGTCACCTGTACACAGTGGTTAGGCCTGCACAGTGCATTTTTCATGTACAGAAATATTTGCTAAGTGAAATAAGCCAGACTAAGAAAGGTAAACATTGTATGTCCCTACTCGGTATTTACTAAATATCTGCACTCAATGACAGAAATGGTAAGATTCAAAGACATACACAAAGAGAGGACTGGTGTTGACACAGAGATATCACAGATCTTATAGGAAGTGGGTGGATGGTCTGGAGTAGGTTGAGCTATTCAGGAAAAATGCATTTTAACAGACACAAGAATGTAAGATTGAAAGTGATCCATATGGTAGTCTTTATTTGATTATCACACACGACATATATGCTTTGACAAAACAGCACTGTATGCCATGAAGATGTACAAAAATTAAATGTAGATAAGAAATATATTTTTAAAAATTTGTTTTGTATAAACAACATTAAGAATTATTACGCTTTCAGTAATATGGACATAAGACATATTATTGGTACCCTGAAATAGAACAGAAAAACTCTCATCTCTTTCCTGCAGTTTACTTAAACACATAAGTATGTGTGAATAAATTCATATACATCACACAAATACATTTAAAAGTATGTGATCAATCTGTGATCATCCTTTTGTGCTACTTAAATTTGTATAGAGAATATGTTTGGGGGCTAGCAGGTGGTATGGTGGTTAAGGCACTGGACTCCCACATGGACCACCACATCTCGAGTCCAAGACCTGGCAGCTTGCTTTCTCACTCTCCCTACTCCCACCACTCTTCTTTCTCTCTCTTTGACTCTTTGTTAAGCATTTATGCCTTATAGCAAAATTTGCCATAGTGTGCATGTGCTTTTCAGAGAAACAGAAAGAGACAGAGAGATGGAAAGTGAGAAATCACACCCCCAGGGGAGATGGCCACACCACAAACCCTTCTCCCCCATTCTCCTTACAGGATTTTTGGCACTCATGCACATGTGCCCAATGTGAATTTTAAGTCACTGGGTCCAGGACTCGAACCTTGATTGACTGCTTTGGAGTCCAGTGACGTAACCATTATGCCATCTGCTAGTCTTGCAAATTTGTAAAAACTAGCAATAATAGATATAAATAAATAAATAATTCTTTTTATTTATTTTTATTTTTACTAATTTTATTATTTTTATTATTCATACATTCAAACACTATATACATCATTTAGCTTGTAAATAGAATTAACCAACCTGAAATATATCTCAAACCAATCCAGTTGAGAATACTACACACGTTATCATCAACAGGCAATAAGCCATTTTTGTGTCACACAAATATCTTACCTCTCTATTTTTTCTCCCTAATTTCATTTCTTACCCTCTTCCCCAAACCCACCATCCTTTTACACTGTCTCCAGTGTCCATAACTTTTTCAATGCTTTTATGTCCTCCAATTTTTCAGTCTCTCCCATAGAGAATGGACAGTTAATAAATGTTAAGTGGAGACCTATGTTTCTCTATCATAGTTTGACTTACTTCACTCAGCAATAAATCTTCCATATTTGTCCAATTTCCATCAAAAGTCAGGGCCTCATTTTTTATGACTGAATAGTATTCCATGGAGTATATGTGGCAGCCTAATTTCTAAAGATAATGCAAACGTGCCACACTTTGTCAATCCATTCATCTGTTTGTGGACATTTGGGTTTATTCCTTGTCTTAGCAATCGTGAATAATGCTTCAATAAACATAGATGTGCAAGTACTTTTCCGACTGAGCATTCTCCTATCCTTTGGGTAGATAGCCAGGAGTGAAATTCCTGGGTCATATGGTAGTTCTGTTCAAAAGTCTTTGAGGAAACTTCATGTTGTTCTCCACAGTTGCTGGACCAATTTACATTGTCACCAGCAGTGTAGAAGAGTTCCCCTTTCACAACATCTCTGCCAGCACTTACTATTGTTTTTTTTTGTTTTTTTTTTTTTTTTAAATCTTCACCATTCTGACTGGGGTTAAGTGGTATCTCATTGTAGTTTTGATCTGAATCTCCCTTATGATAAAAGATGAAGATGTTGAATATTTTTTCATATACTTTATGATTGTTTGTATGTTTTCCTTATTGATTTGTTTATCACATGATTTTTCCATCTTTTAATTGGGTTAGTCATTTTTCTCCAGATAAACTGCTTGAGTCTCCTGTGAATTCTGATTATCGTCCCTTATCTGGAGTATAGTTTAAAAAAATATTCTCCCATATGGAGGGTCATCAATTCACACTAATTATTGTGTCTTTTACTGTGCATAAATTTCTTTTAAAATTTTATTTATTTTTATTATTATTTATACATTCAATAGCTATACATCATTTAGATTATAAAGAGATTTTACCCAACATGATGCATGCCACAGACCAGATGAGTTGAGAATATTATACACAGCATCATCAACAGGCAACAAATCATATCTATGTCCCACAAATGTCTTACTTCTCCATTTTCCCCCAAATTTCTCTTCCTGCCCTCTTCCCCTCTCCCACTCTCCTTCCACTTTGTATCCAGTGTCCATAACAATTTTCAATTCTTTTATGTCCTACAGTCTTTCAGTGTCTACCATAGAGTGTAGACAGTCAGTATATGTTAAGTGGAGATATACAATGTCTCTCTTTCATAGCCTGACTTGCTTCACTCAGCAATAAATCTTGCATGTTCGTCTACTTTCTATCAAATGCCAGGGTCTTGTTTTTTATAGCTGAATAGTATTCCATGGAGTATATGTGCACCCTTTGTCAATCCATTCATCTATTTGTGGACATTTGGGTTGGCTCCATATTTAGCAATCATGAATAATGCCACAATAAATATATTGTGCAAGTACTTTTCCAACTGAGCAGTCTCTAGTCCTTTGGGTAGATACCCAGGAGTGGAATTGCTGGATCATATGGTAGTTCTATTTAAAAGTCTTTGAGGAACCTTCATATTGTTCTCCACAATGGCTAGACCAATTTACATTCCCACCAACAATGTAGGAAAGATCCCCTTTCACCACATCCCTTCCAGCACTTATATATATATTTTTAATCTTCACCATTCTTACTGGGGTTAGGTAGTATCTCATTGTAGTTTTGATCTGTATCTCCCTTATGATTAGGGATGTTGAGTATTTTTTTATGTGCTTTTTGGCTGTTTGCATGTCTTCCTTAGAGAGTTATTTATTCAACTCATTTTCCCAACTTTTAAATGTGTTAATAATTTTCTTCTGGGTAAGTTGCCTGAGTTCCCTGTGTATTCTGATTATCAGTCCCTTATCTGAGGCATAGTTAACAAAATTTTTCTCCCATTCCAAGGATTGTTGATTCATACTAATTACTGTGTCCTTTGCTGTGCAGAAACTTCTTAGTCTTTTTTTGGTATTATTGTCTGTAATTTGGGAGTCTTGGTTAAGAAGTCTTTGTCTACCCCAATGTCTCCCAGAGTTTCTCCAGTGTTTTCCACCAGTAGTTTTATAGTTTACAGTCTTAGGTTTAGATCTATGATCCACTTTGAGTTGATTTTTGTTAATGGTGACAGATAGGGGTTCAGATTCATCTTTCTGCTGGTGAATACCCAGTTTTTCCAATTATTTGCTAAAGAGGTTTTCCTTTTCCCACTGGGTTGACAGGTACCCTTTGTCAATTATCAATTGGCTGTATGTTTAGGGGTTCATTTCTGGGGTCTCTACTCTTGTCCATTGGTCCTCATGTCTATTTCTGTACCAATACCATGCTGTTTTGATTATCACAGCTATGTAATATATTTTGGAGTCAGGTAGTGAGATGCCACCCACTCCACTCTTTTTGTGTAAGGTTGCTTTGGCAATACGGGGTCTTTTATGATTCCAGAAAAATTATATGATTGTCTTTTCTAGATCTGTGAAGAATGTCTCTTAAAGTTTTATAGGGATTGCATTAAATATGTAGCTAATTTGGATAGGATTGCCATTTTAATTATATTAATTCTTCCAATCCAGGAACATGGGATCTTTCCACTTGTTTGTGTCACTTTTGATTTATTTTTTAAAAGATTTTCATTATTTTCCTTTTAGAGTTCTTTGACTTCCTTGATTAATTTTATTCCTAGGTATCTTATACTCTTTG